TTCGTCAATACTAACGAAATTGCGACGTATTTTTTCATAATTTAATTAGCAACGAATTTTTTTTTTGCTAAATAGCAACATAATTGCAACGATATTGTTCGTAAAGCACCGGAAAATTTCGATGTTAAATAGAAACAAAATTATTTTGTTGGTAAACAACAACGGAATTTTCATAATTGTAGTAGCAACGAAATAATTTGTTTCTAAATGCAATACATTTATTCCACTAGAAAACACCAACTAATTTGCTACGAATATGTTCATAATTCTATCCTCTTCTTCCTTCTCATCCTCCTTCAGTCAGATGTAAATAATAGACGTTATATAACTGAAATTGTGTCTGTTTCATCTCTTCCTGTGAATTTTGATAATTCCAATTGATATAAAAAATTGCTTAAATGGTTTTAAACCTAGCTTTAAGTTGGTTTCCGCGTACTATTCTCACCCGCGATATTCAAAACATAGTTGATGATTAAAAAAAATAATTTAATTTGATTCAAACTTTGGAAATCTAGCATAAAGAGTTTCTAAAAACATAGTTGATGATAAAAAAAATAATAATTTAATTTGATGCAAACTTTGGAAATCTAGCATAAAGAGTTTCTTGTGATATTTGGTCGATAATTGACAAGATAATTTTCATATGAAAATTACTTATCATTGTGTTGATGTTAATATTGAATAACAAGAACTTTCAATGACATGCGATTAAATAACACCCACACTAACCATAAACTAGCGCGTAGCCCGTACGATGCACGAGATGATATATTTTTCAGAAATGTACAAAATGTGAAATACTAGAATAAATATAATTTATATATATGTAACAAAAATAAATGGATCGCAAAACAGGTAAAAAAAAAATTATAACTCATTGAACACTTTCTTAAGTAAAATTTGTGAAGCTTTGATATACTTGATTATCATCAGAAAAGTATGAAATACTACATGCGGACGTTTGAGATAGATGAGAAGATTTACATAGAATATATTAAATAAATATTGAGATGAATATTTACGTAGTATATATAATATAAATATTGACATGATGTGAGAGAATTATGAACATAAATTCGTTTAAAAGTTGAGTACAAAAGATTCAAAAATTAGATTTTCTTTGACGAACAATGACATAAGTTCCTTTAAAAATTGAGTACACAAGATTTCAAAAAATAATATTTTTTTAAATCTTTACTGTAAAAAAATTGATAAAAAAATTTACACTCTATTTTCATTGATTTATCAATTTTACTCATACAAATCAAATTAATGCAAAGCGATTGATTTATCAATTTTACACATAAAAATTAAAATTAATGCAAATTGAAATATTATATAAAAAATAAAATGATATTTTTTTATCTAAGATTTGGTATATTAACGAAAAATTCTTTATAGATCTATTTTTATGCATATAGATATTAAAAATACCTAATAAATATCTTATTTCACATATGTGAAAACTATCTAAAATATTATATATTATGCTTGAAATACGTGGAAAGTCACCTAAAATTTTTCTAAACTATACTATAAGAAAAACATGTCTAAATACTTAAATTTAACTTTTTTTTTTTATATAGATATACCTCTGTAATCTAAAGAATGTGTAAAAAAATTATCTAAATATGTTTAAAAGTATCTAAATGTTATATGTGTTAACAATATTACAACGAAAAACATTAAGAATACGTAGAGTATTATATAACGTATGTAAATTTATCAAAATATTATATATTATTATTGAAAAATGTGAAATTATCTAACTTTTTTCTAAACTATTTTATAAGAAAAATATAAAAACACTTAAAGTTAACATATATATATATATGTATATATATATATATATTGCTTAAAGAATGGGCACAATATTTGCCCAAACAACATGTTTAAAAGTATATACAATGTTATATATAAAAACATAGATAAAGTTTACATATTTTACATAAAAATATTAAATTGATCAAGTTAAATTTTGCAAAGCCACACATATAATTTGGCATGAGTGAAAAGTAATTTGCCTCAAATCAGTTGAGTTTGGGTTATGAATTTTAATCTATTTATTTGGCATGTGATATAGAAATTTTTTATATGTGATATATTTTATTTTATGTGTGTATTCAACAATACAATATTTTTTTTAAATGTGTTCAGATGCTGGGTTTGCAAAGATAGAACGATTTTATAAAATCAGATAAATAGGGTTATGTGATATTGATTCTCTTTCAAATCTGAATGTGTGATCTAATTAGTTATGTTTGTTACCATTAATTAATCGACCGTAATTAAGAAAAATTGTCAAACATGTGATAGGCCGTAAATTAACAACGCGTTAACAGATTTTTTGTTACATTGAAAAGTAATTTTTGGGTTGTCAAATTTGGGATAGGATGTAAATTAATTTTTTCAAGACCGTAACAATATTAAGATTCTTCAAAACGCGTGAATAATTTTTCGTGCAAAATATTGAATAAAAATTTGAAAACACGTGAACAAATTTTGAGCAAAATATGGAATGATTTTAAATTTTTTAAAATGGACAAAATTTCAAATTTTTTAAACAAACAGAATTTCAGATTTTTTAAACAATTTCCATAAGCAGTAAGTCAAATGGGTTGACTAATTTTTTTTATGACCTTTCTAAAAATGATTTACTGACCATCATTTTTCAAT